CTCTCTCGCTTCCTGCACATATATCAATCTTTTCATACACGCTCGCCGGTTACGGGCACTTTTAATTTGGCCTTTCCTCAGCACGTCGCCTATTTGGTCGACATACATTCGTCTACGGCGGCCCCTACCGACGTCTCCATTCATTCATGCTCGATAACTCTTTCCTAATTCTTCTTTCATCGATCCAAATTGTACTCACATTTCGGATATAATAACAGATTGATTGATTAAAACAATGCTATGATTCCATATTATACAAGTAGGCACTTGTATGTATAGTATGGTATGGCCATGTGATCTAGGCATAGAATAGGCCACCCCTTCCTTTCCCGTGGGTGTCGTAAGAGGCGACTAAGGAGGGCGAAAGACAGGCAGCAGCGTCCCTCTTAAAACATCTCTAAGGCTTAACTGTGTTTGTCAATCTGCTTGTCAAGTGTGACAACTATTGGCAAACTTCTTAGGGGGTGAGGCTTATATAAAAAAATAAAACAATTACTCGAATGTAAACCATTTATTTGTGAAATTACTTCCAACGCCGTCCGATAGAACGATATTCAAAGCTAAGAACTTTCATACATAATACTTCGATAAAAAACTACCGACTAGAAACCTTTGGTTGGGACGCTGTGGAACCATTTTCAAGAATACCAATTTTCAACAAAGAGGTGAGTACACGTGCAGTCCAAACTTTATCAAAAACTTTAAAAAATCTCCGACTTCATAATGTTAAAAGTTGTTTTCTAAGAATAAGAAGTTTGTTAACATTGTAATTGGAAAGGTAATATATATTTAATGATTTTTTTTATATATAGGTAACAAATTTCCTTGAAATCACCACCGGTAGGGTACCCAGGACTCTGAAGCATGACATCGCTGAATAGCAATGGAAATGCGTTCACCTAAATGCAAGCCAGTTTCCTTGTCAGACGTTTCAACCAGCCAGTGTTATGAAATTTTTATTTCTTACATTTTTTCTTGTCGCGATATGGCAACGTTTCTTGGTCCTTTTTTTCTTGTTGCAACACTCTTTGCTATCAATACTTTTTACATCTAAAATCCTTAGCCATCGTATTTTTCACATCTTGTGTTTATTTCTTTAATACATACAGTCATATTAAATTTCATTTTTGAAGCACGTAGATTCGAACTTAATTTCTTGAAAATATTTATTTTATTGTTTAACAATAACTCTTGACTCCGAGATCGAAGAAACTATTTTTTTTTTAATATTATAACCTTGTTTTATCTATGTTAATATAAATATTCAAGACATTAGTTCTCTATTAAGTGGGTAACTTTATATTTTCAGTAAGGTTACTAAACAGTCCTATTCTTTTTCCAGGTTTCTTGTTTCATTATGTACAGTGTGTACGCACTATCCATTTATTAACTGCATACAGTTATAATTTACTACCACTAGTCCTTTTAATCTTGAATATGGCAACACAGCGTATAATTGAATATATTTGTAGATTCAGTAAAAAAAAAATGCATACCCGTAGGCGAGTAATCACGAGCTACGACTAAATATAATTAAGAACTTACGATAAAAATTCGTGGCGCACTTTTTGTCTATTAAAATATGGCGGTTAATAATAAAAAAAAAAATACTCGTAATGGAAATAAAATAGGATACAAATACAATTTAATCTCTTTTGTTATATATATAGATATCATACTTTTTTCTCAATTACTATTAACCGCCATTTTTAAAGGGTTAGGTAATAGAAGTTCAAGAATCTACTTTAAAATCGATAGAAAAACTATTATCAAATTCCATAGAGCAAATGGTTATAGAGATGTACCTAATCTAAAAATCACCCCTAATCAATGTTAAACAACGTCAGTACATTATAAATACACACACATTAAATTTTCGATAACAACCTTAAGCTAAATTATTTACAGAAGTTATAAAACAACTATGGTAGGTATGTAATTCGCATTTTTGTAACTCTAAAAAGAGAATTCCATGTAATTTATGTCAAGAGATAGTTAAAAAACATTAAGTACGTACATATAAGTATAATATTATTAATAATATCAGCAAAATTGATTATTGTTTGAATTTGATTGTAATGGGCCTATAAAACGAGTTTAATACAGCTCTCGTAGTAAGGATTGAACACTGCCAAATAAAATGCGTGAAGAGAAACAAAAATGCGATAAGAACAACTTAAATGTAGGAAAAACCTAATCTCTAAAATGTAAGTTCAATAAACGAAAACAATTCTTCGAAATAACAATACTTTGGATAACTATTTGTTACCGAAATAAAAATGTCTAAAATAAAAAAAAAATCAACATTAGATACGTATAAAGTACGATGAACTATGTATGAACACGTCTCATTTATATTTCGTATTTATAAACTTGACTGGTAGGTACTTTTTTTTTTTTATATTATTTGAACTAACATAGACAGAGTAAATATTAATTAGTAAGTAAGTACACTGAACATTTACTTGTAAATTTAGTATGTCTTTTTGTTAGATGATAAATAAGATTCGTGTTCGTAGATAGATAAGTAGGTACTATAATAGAAACAAAGGTGTGATTTTAATATTGTCACACGTATAGGCACTCTGCGTACATTTTATTTGTTGTACTGGGGTTTTATTCTACTGAACACTTGATTAAACTACGATGAGAGAATGCTACTCCCAGTGGTATTGAAGAAGCACTTTTTCAGATCTTTTTGTTGAACTGCAACTACCATAGACAACTTTTTTTTAGACGATACATTTTGAAAAACGCGGGAATTTTGACAGTTATGAAGGCGGGTGACGTGATAAGATCTAAACAAGTGCCCTTACATTTCAGAAACCAATCTAGTGCATCCCAGCGGTACGGGATATTGAAAATTAATGTTAACGGGTGACTACTTTCAGTCTATCGTGTAAGGAAGACATGTCAAAATTATGACAGTTACAATACAGTCACAAAATACTTAATTTACTTTGTACTACTACAAAAAAGGGTTCCTACATATCTTTGTTGTATAATAATCGATTACAATAGTAATTTTATTTTTCTAAATACACTACAATATGAGAAAACTGCTAATTCATTGTTATAAGAAAAGGCCTTAACCACGAAGATAACAGAAAAGATAATATTATACAAAAAATATTTTATTCCATTTTTTTTTCACAAACTAATCGACATCTTTGGTCCGTGTTCTACTTCTAGAAATGAATCTACGTTTCCATAGTCAAATCATTTTTTATTTTTTCGATAAAGAACATACATAAGGCACAATAACGATTGTGTCTTCAGGGTCTCTCGGATGATATGCATCTTTTATATCTACATTCAAACTACAAGAGACTACCAAACTACTCAATATTGAAAAAAAATATAAAACTCTTATAAGCAAAAGAGATCGTTGTCTCATCACATTTCTTTTTTGGAATTATAAAAAAAAAAAAGTAAATGAATCGACCATCCAAACTAGGGCTAAATTTAGAGTTAGAGCGAGATGCGAGTAAATGACGTTTAGTTAATAAAACTTTTTTTTTCTTACTTGGCACGTCAAAAACACCCTTGGAATGTTTTTTTTTGTTGAAATCAGGTTCCAAGCTGCAAAAGCCTTTGTTGTAGAGACGTTTATATTATGCATTTTCATCATATATATATATATATAAATATAAAAACTAGTTAGCCCCACCAAAATACGTGAAATAAGAAAAATTGTTACATTTTAAAATACGCGGCCAGCCTAAATTAAAAAAAAAATTGTCTCTTAATTAGGTCTAGATAAACTTTGAACAGATAGGAGACAATTTATACGTCGTTAATTGCATTTAGGAACGGCGTTGTAAAAAGAAAACGCCCTTTCAAAATATACTCACTAGTAGACAAAATCTAAAAGATTTGCAACTGTTAATTAAAGTTAATAATTAAATAATTTATTTTTAATACATAATTAAATAAATACTGCATCGTGTTTCATACTCGTTCCTCGCCGCAACTCGCCAACGATGGTACTACATGTATGGCCCAGCACCCAACGTCGTCTATAATCTACAGCTATTGTTACTGGGATGCACTTTACTTAAATGGAGTCAAATAAAAACTAAGCGAAGTTTAAAGATTTATTTGCACGTGGACAATACTGATGTGAACAAATAGCTTTTAATTAAACACCGACCAATAATTCTAATTAGAAAAAAAAAAATATAAAAATGATACTAAAATCCATTAAATGAAAATTTAAAATATATGATTTCGAAAATGGCCGTCACAATTTTGGAACGATTTGTGGAACTGGTTGAAAATTTCGTACCAAGAATGGGTCGGGATTCCAAATTTAAATTACCGTTTCGATTGAAGCAAGGGATGGTATCAGTATTGTCTCACCGTATATGTTCAGTTGTCTTCAGTCTTGCAGGTCCCGGGGCGCCGTTGACAATGCATGCACTCTGCTACACACCGCTCCGTACGTCGTCATGCATCTATCCAAGTTTGTCCACACTAAAACCTACACGCGTGACTCTATGGCGCAATTCTACATTGGCAACACATTGGCACACCATAAACTATACCCATTTTTTTTTAATAATAAATATGGTGGTACATTTCGTTTAATGGTGCACCAAACTATGCCAGATTCCGTTTTCCATGTCTAGGATTATATCCTGGCATAGATAACAGAAATGTATATGAATTGAGCCAAAATATTCACGCGTGTAGTCTATGAGTCCACTATTCCCAAACAATAACTGTATAGATACGTCAGAGCTTTGTGTAAACATCATGTATTTAGTAAAATATATCCAAGTATAGATAAAACAACACAAAAACAAATAAAATGACGTATTTATAAAGCTGCAAGGTGAATAGGGCTGCACTACCAAGTCGGGGATATATTTCTAATAAAAAAAAAAACCTTACTGGCGCCCAAAGTGGGACTCGAAGCCTCTATACTACTTCCATGTCTTATCTATACTAACGAAGAGGTACAAAAAATAAATGTAAGCGATAAATGAAAGAACAGCTCGTGTTGTTACCATTTATTTCTAAGACTTGACTAAGTGAAGATGAACCATAGATATTTTGTTAATGGCGTCTGAGGCGCGCTGTTGCGCTCTACTGCTAGCTAGAGGCCGTTACTGGCCATTCATAACCTCTAAATACGCGCCATTTTGATAAAAAAAGTGAAAGTAACTTTTCCGACCAAATATGACGTCTGATCCAAGATAAATACAAAAGAAAAACTACAAAATGTTACGCCTTTACTTTTACAAAACATTCAATGTGGTTGTCATCGCACGATAAGCGAGGGTTGAGCGGTATAGATTATGACATAGACAATTACTATGCTCCGGGACCATAGAGAATTTATATATCCATCCAATACGGGTATCTACGGATCTACGGGCCCAGACCCCCTATCTACAGGTTTAACAAACCTCAAAGACACAGACAAAACTCCAGTATTGCACAATGTTTTTCTATATTATAGCAGATCGTGTATAAATAAAAAAAAAAAAACAGCCCATATCTAATATCTATGGAACTATAATTATCGATAAATAGGTTAACTACCAATAAATAAGATGCATAACTTGTATTATGACCAAAATATACATAAAGGAATGTTATATATACCATTTTTGTGACTTTGCAAGCATTTTTAAAGTACAATCATATTGACATATACATAATATATATACCTCAAGCTCTACAATCACAACTTACATTATCAACAAGTAAATGTAAGAATGATGAACTATTCACGACATATCCATAGAATGTTAACCGACAAAGTCACAGAGTCATGTGCTGTCAAGTTTCATTAAAACAATACCCCCCATTTAAACAGCCGGGTATAATTAACGTGTTCCACTATTATAACGGGACAAGTAGGAAATATTGTCTATAGAAATGGTTTGTTAATTGCTACGAATGAAATCTTTCAATTTACCGTATCAAAGCATTATACAAATCTGTATATGTTGGCATACGAATCTAAGATACCATCTGTATTACGCTAAATTGTAAATGTACACTCTTGTCGTCGTTAGATAGTGTCTATGCCCTTATTAAAGCATTGGCGCCAGTTTTGACAATTTAGGCATATGTGCTTAAATGTGCACTTTGTTAAATTAATCAGGTACAAACATTTACAATTCTGTCCATAAAAAATTATATAAGATCATCCAACATCACTTGATAGCTCTACAAAACAGGCTATTTAAACTTGCCGCACTTAAGTGCCTACTCTGTAGTAGAATTTTTATATCGGGCAACACTAGTCCCTGTGCGAAAATAATAAAAAAAAAATATTCCCATTTGTCCAGTTAAAACAGTACCACAACGGTCGATATAAAAGCAAAACAAGACTGCACGCCGAAGCGCCGAGCCGCGCCTACGCGTAAAATCACAAACTGACTTATCAACAAGTTATCACGATTAATTTTAAAAATACAATACCAACTGACTACTGAATACACCAATTCTATTATACAAAAATATTGTAATATTTTATATTGTATGCATGTGTGTATATAGTAAACTATGCGCGCGCTGCCGTGCCTTCCCCCCTTCCTAGCTATAACGTGCAATTTATCATTATATTAAAATTCAGTTGCATCAAAAACTATATAACCAGATTCTAACAGTCCTGCATAATATTAATTCATAAAATGTCCAATCATGTAACCAATGCAAGACTTTTACACATATTTTTAGGCCGAAAGCTGTCTCGTTTGAATACCGTGGTCCTATACATAGACATCAGTCATTTTTTTTTTAATTTTCCTAAAGGCGGGAAGTTGTATTATTATTGTTCACAGACTGGTTTTCTAATAAAAGAAAAAGTACCATAGACAAGATTATATAAATAAAAGTTTTTTTTTTATATGACTGTTAAAATACTCAGGTACGAACAATAATAATACCGGATAGGGTAGATGTTTTCGAGTTAATCTTGTGACCGAAATATCTAGTATATTCGAAACAGAGCGAGACACCTGGTTATTAGTTTTTGACCAAGACTAATATGCCCCCGCGCCCGTGTCGCCTTAGCCGCAGCGCGCGCGTGCTGTAATATTAATTTATTGCTCTCGGTTAGTTACTTATTTATATATCATTATATGTATGTAAAACTTCAAAATGTCTACACTACACCACTACTCTAGCATTGCCATACATTAAAACACACAACATAATAATTATTATTAATTTTCTTTAACATATCATATTATACCAATCCAAAAATTGTATATTTATTCCATGTATATACTATATTATTAATATATCCAAGTTGTTAACATTGGTCCAGTGTTCCTGGATTCGCGGGTAAGCGTGACGCGTCGGTGACGCCTGTGTATGGCACATCACTAAATGCGAAGCATAAATCAACTACGTCTATGCAAGAGTAAGTATTGAGCAAGATAAGACTCTGTTTCCCGCCAAATACTATAGAGAACTAAGTAAAAATGACTAGAGAGGAATGTATCGTCGTTATGGCAACGAATTTAGCGTCCAGTTGGCAACGTCCATCATATTATTGTCACATTCTTATGCTACATATCGGTTTGACATTCGACTATAATTTCCCGCCTTTTTCACAGACACAAAATGGCGCTCAGTCATTACTGTGTTCACGTGTCGGTGAATTGTAATCGAGAGATATCATAACAATCATTCGTTTAATTAATATCAAAATTTTTAAATTAACTAGACAGGGGTTTATTTTTAATTTAATATTAATATTTCACGTGTTACGAAATCTCCCGAGTCAATTCAATAAGTTTTATTTTTTTTCTTTCAAAGTTGACTAAGCTGCGATAGCGTCCCCCCGAGGACATTGAGCAAAGTATTTGGCTAAATTTTGGCCTGAACGTTTGGCAAAACAATTCTATCTCCGTCTCGTATAGGAAGACCGTAGGCCTAAGCGAAGCGACACTAAGAGGTCTACACTACGTGTCTACTTAACCAATATCTCTTTCAGTGCGTCGAACGTCGCGTCTCGATTCGGACGTCCGGAATAATTTGTGTAGTTTGAAATTCGACAAGTACTAGAATACTGTTTATTAAAATCAATTATACGTTTACAGCTATTATAGCCCTAATATATATAAACTTAATTCAATTATAAAGTTCGTTTTATGTCAATATGAGTTAAAATTTTTTAGATAGGTACCAACCAAGTTATTTCGGACAGCCGAGTCAAAAGTATAATATGTGTCATTGAAAGAGATATTATAATAGCACGTTTCACAACCAACGTGTGGCATATGCCTGGAGAATTGACAGAGAAGTACTGGAAGAATTCATTTTTACGTATATTCCATGCCAACCATGCTGCCTAGAAGTCCAGATCATGTTAGTCACAATATACTTATATGTTTCTACTATTTTACATGCCTCGTCGGAACTTACCATATCTTCGCCCCACCCAGAGGTTATGGGCCCAGGCGGGTGCCAAAATGGCGCCCAAACTGGGACCACGTTCACACTCAAAATTCTACAGCTTCTCAACATAACGTGCATCTAAGGTGAGGGTACATGACCGCAACCCGTAAGGATCTACCCCACTTTAGCTACGGAAATAAAACACACGTTCATTGGTACTAATAATAAATGTAATGACACATCGCGTATGTCTAAGTGCACCTTACACAATGTACGGGCAACTAGGTTCACTAAATACAAAACTACCACTAACTAGCCCACATCCGTTGCAAATAATGAAAAACAAAAATCAACTCTAGACAACGGATGGTAGCGGGTTAAAAACCAGTGTAACGAATACAAGGGTGTTTTATAGAAAAATAAAATAATAATAATATATATATACTTGTTAAAGTCGTTCGACGGCCCAAGGGACAATTTATCGATGAGAGGTCGAATTACGAGACAATTAAGTACAAACATCAAACAGGGCAATACCGCTGTTATAATTTGGCAAGATACAAAGCGGCCGCCGACGGAGGGTCTACGTGAAACATCACAATATATCATAGACAATCTAATACTGAGACTTCAGGAAAAATGCTAATGTACAAAAGGTGTTGTCACTGGGCGAGCGGCGGGAGCCGTACAGTCGCGGGAATGTAATGCTGTATCATACGTCAAATCAACGGACGGAAAACAAAATATAATTCTTATTTCAAAACAAAGAAGTACAAAGACTCACGTCACCGGTATGCGTTTGCGCCGCCAATTTGTATTGAAACTTGTGACACTCACGCCTCTAGTGGACGATTTCGGAAACTCAGAGATAATCCAATTAGCAAAGCAAACACAAACGCGAACGTAAACCTTTGACAAACTTACACTAGTCACTCGATTGTACATCAAATAATCAACTCATCTTTATATCTTCTAGACTGTTCTAGAATTCGGCAACAACTTTGCGTGCTGCTTCGTATACGCAAATGAATAATTCACAAAACAATTCCCCACAACTGATACGACTCGCGCCAATAATCTCAGGAGGTTACTAACCTACTTAAACTAACAATACTGCTATAATAATAAGGGTAGGTAGTGTATACATGTGATATAGCATTTGGTAGCCGTGACGTGTGGATGTTGTGAAAAAAAAAATAAAACTGTTTGCCAGAATTCCTTTGTTTGTTACATACTGAATTAATTTTTTTTACTTCAAATCTTTAGATTACATGTTCAAGCGCTCATTTTTACACAGAAACATTGAGAATATATATCAATTAGGTAGATATATATTGTACATTGCAAAAATAAACTAAAATTTAACTCGACAGGTTAATCGGACGGGATTCAAACCCGCCTCGAATGCCCGTGCCCAAGTATTCCCATTTATACCACAGGAGGCATAATTATTAGGCAAATTTATAACATATCAAACTTTCTATTTAGAATTCCCAAATATAGGATTATAAATTTTAAAGTATATAGAAATTTTAAACATATATGTCAAGGAAACATTAGTCGAAGGGCGATTAGAAAATTGAGTCTACCATACTAACTCGACAGCTGAACGCGTCTGTACGGGAAACATCAATTTTCTCACCTATTAAAACTAGATTTTCTTTGGGGAAAACATTCTGTTTCACTCGTAGAAAACGCACCTTTAAAAAACGACACTAATGATTTCAAATTCACAACAGGAATTACGGGTGATAAACAAATGTTTCCATGCTTTACGTTCGGCCTCCCACACGTCAAGGTTACATAGTGAGTCGGCTGGCTGGGAATGCTGCCGACAAGCTACCGCATGCATTGGCTCTACTTACCGCCTGCCTTTGCCTGAGCCAGACACATCGCGACGTTTCCCGCTCGACTCGAATATTGCCGTCTCTGTTACACTATAGAAATGCGACACACGAATATACTCTCAACACTCCGCATTCGTCATAAAGGCCATCCCTTTTTACATACCGAAAGAGATGGGGCCAACTGTCGAATGCGCCAGAGAAGACAACCGAGCAAAACGTCGGAGTGTCTTATGAAATAGTATTATTGCTACCGGCCCGCCGGTGTGCCTAACAGTAATTAAGTATCCATTATTGTCCATCAACTTAGTTCGAAAGCAAGTTTAACGTCAAGTTCACAAAATTTTTTTTTTCATAAAACATGAGAACTAATTTCGATAATGGCAGTTCTTTTTCGGTTTACGTAAAAAAAGTGTATTATAAAATAACATTTGTTGATAGATAAGAGATTTAGACGTTTCAAATATATATATATATATATATATATATATATATATATATATATATATATATATATATATATATATATATATATATTTCTTTTTAAGTTATTTAAGTACGTAATATGTTAATACTGCAAGGACTATGTCCCCACTTAGCCTACGAATTGCACCAACACAACCATAATGTCTTTTCACGTAATACTCCAATAATCACAGGGTAATAATGTAAATATTGCTTTTTAAACTATCAACTAGGTGTAAATTAAGTACTATTTAACGAATGGGATGCTATTTTACAATATGTGTTTTTAAGTACACAAAATAGGAACAAATTATATTTTTTAATACAAATCTATCAAGAAGATAGCTTACAAAAAAAAAAAAAACAATATCTTTAGAAGAACAACTAGTGTATATGAAGAAATAACCTCGCCATAATTTAATACAAAACTACACTATATAGGCAACCAACCAAAGCGAAGCGAGAATCAATACAAATACAAAGCTAGAAATTTCTACCTCTATACCAATTCCTAGTAAAGTTACTCTCTGCAAGTACAAAACATCCCATTCGAATAATTCTATACAACCATTGTTTAAATTGTCGCCCGACGTGGGACCGTTGGCGCCCGACGTGGGACCGTTGGCGCCCAACGTGGGCCTCTTGTATAAAGACCGTGATATCCATGTCACTTACATATACAGGGTGGTTCAGGCAAAAACAGGCGGCGACAGTCTACAGCGGCTAATACTTAGCTTATTGTCACACACGATGTGTTAGTTGCATTCCCTTATCACTTCTAAACTAATTAACTTTACTCTAAATCGTACAATGTCGCCGTTCAGTGAGTTTATTTGTGGTTCTAAAAAAACAGCTGCCTAGTTAGGGCCAGATCTAGGGAAAGGGAGACAATTGCCCGAGCGGGCAAAAATGAGGAATGACAGAATAGTACGTTACAATAAGAAAATAAGGACGTACAGGCGTTAGAATGTTTTTGTAACATTATCAAAGGCGTCAGATATAGTTTGCCCGGAGAGGCAAAAAAGCTAGATCAAGCCCTGTACCTGTATTAGACCATATCTCGATGACAGAATAGCTTTTATTTTAATTAACATACGAAATAATGTCATCTAGTAACAGTCTTTAAAATGTGTATAATAAAAAATAAAAAAATTAAAAGATAAAGCTGCCAAATTCAAAACTCACCAAACGCCAACACTGTACCGCTATAATATCTACGTAAGTCATACATATAATACTATGATGAGATTGCTTTTGCTCAGTAAGATATGTATATGAAAAATGAGCTGGGATGACGCGGCGGGCGACCGGTGATGCGCTTCGAAAAAAAAAATTTTTAAAAGAGGCAACACTTAAGACATTTTGCCAGAGACAATGCAATATTATGGCAATTTCTACATTTTATATTGCATTTATTAATACCAAATTGAAGTTAGATAAATTACTATTTTTATACGTAGTTCGAAAAAGAGTTATCCATTTTTTTTACAATTTATTTTTTTAATAAAATATCACACGAAAGTCGTAAGTGATACGTCTTTTAATGTTTTATAATTTAATAATTAGGAATGAATAAGAAAACTGGCCAGTGACCAGTTCAAAGGACGCGCGATTTGGCACAAAATAGAATCAACGTTTCAAATGCAATTCTGGCGACAGAGATAGAGCGTTCGAACCGTCGAGACAGAGATATTGCAAATGAAACTCGATTCCTCGATCGATGAAAGACAATGGCACAAAATGCAGTTTTTTTTTCTTCTATCTTATGTAATTCTCTTTTCAAACGAGCACGACTCGGCAGGGGAGATGTGCGCGCGTCACCGGCCGCCCGCGGCCGCACGGTTGCTTACTATATAAAAAAAAAATACAGAGCCATATGAGAGATTCATAGTTACATTCGTTAAATAAGTTAATAATATTGCCATATACGTGCACTACGCTACACATGTCCAAAACAAACTTTCCATCTCGCTTCCAAACTAAATTATACTTCTGAGATCATCTTAAATTTAATTTCAAACGAAACGCTTCACCGTGGGTATTGCTTCATTCGAATGCACTTAGCCTAAGTAGTGAGCCGACAGACTTATCTAATTTAAGAATACTGTATTCCTCGGTGTCCGAGCGCGGCAAGACGAGTGCCTACACGAAAACAAAATATAGGAACCATCGTGAGAAATCATAGCAGAACCTGACCTCTAGGCGGGTGGGGTTAAGGGGCCGGCGTCGCCGCTTATATGTACATGGGCAGGCTGTACATGGCGCCCCAGTCCACGCCCTGGAACGAGGACATGTCGACGCCGGCCAGCGAGTACGCGGCGCCGAACTGCGGCAGCGCGGGCGCGGGCGCGGGCGCGGGCGGCGCCACCAGCGCGGCGGCGGCCGGCAGCGCGTACGGCGCGTAGCGGTACGCGTGCGCCGCGCCCACGCCGCCCACGCCGCCCACGCCCACGCCCACGCCGCCCACGCCGCCCGCGCCGCCCGCCGCGTACACCAGCCCGCGCCCCGGCCGCAGCACCAGCCTCTTGCCGAGCGCCAGCGGCGCGGCCGCCACCGCCTCCTTGGGCTGGGCGCGCTTGCACTCCACCTTCTTATTTTTTATCGTGTGGAAGTGTATGTCACATACGCGCTCGACGGCCTCCTCCGAGTGGAACGTGACGAAGCCGAAGCCCCGGTGGCGCTTGGTCTGCTGGTCCATTAGCATGACGGCGTCCTCGACGAGGCCGAACTGCGAGAAGTAGGCGCGCACCTCGTCGGCGGACGTGTCCTGGCCCACGCCGCCCACGAAGATCTTCTTGGTCTTGGCGGGGCGCGGCGCCGACTTGGGCGTGGCGTGCTTGGGGTCGATGCGTTTGCCGTCGAGCGTGTGCACGGGCACGGCGAGCACCTTGTCCACGGACGCCGCCTCCTGGAATGTGATGAAGCCGAAGCCGCGCGACCTCTGCGCGCGGCCGCCGCTCAGTACGCGCTATCCACACTATATACTGGTACAGTATGGACTGAGAAATGATTGCAGCTGTTTTAACATTAGCAAATATTTACTGTAATATTGAAAAAAAAAAGAAAAAAATCTTTTCTAAGGCAAAGTATTCTCTAATGTTATAAAAATAAAGTGAAAAATCACACGACACATCAATACGTAATCGACAGTGGTATGTGTAAAAATTAATAAATTTAAAAAGCATTGTACGGTATCTCTGTATGAGTGAATTACCTACTTAATACCTAATTACTTTCTCCTCGACCTCCACGTGGTTCCCCCTGGAAACCATCGTGAACAATTCTCGTTGAATTCGTCACGATGGGCTAACTGACCTACTTCTTCCTCACCTATCATCCCTCACTGGTGCCCCGCCGGTGTATACCGATAGCGCGGGTGGGGCTACCATTCCATTATCTTCCATTAAAAAAAAATACTTTCTCCTACTTTTAATCAGGTATATACATATATATACCATCAAAGTATGAAACCCCCCGATCATTTTGCTTACTAATCAATGTTTTACTACAATTATCACATTATTTCATCACTTTAATTTGTAATGTAATTTAATTTCATGTAAATAAACTCCCGTGTTAACCCGGCATAGAGTAGACCACCCCTACCATTCCCGTGGGTGTCGTAAGGCGCGACTAAGGGAACTTAGTAATAGAGAAATGGGCAGTAGCGTTCCTCTTAAAACATTTCTAAAAGCCTACCTGCGTTTGCCAACCCGCCTGCCAAGCGTGGCAACTACTGGCAATACTCCCCTTATGGGGAAGGCTCATGTTCAGCAGCGGACAGTTAACGGATGAAACGGTGATGAAATAATAAAACTAAATCATCATACCAGACATAAACTGTCCACTGCGAACATAAGTATCCCCTTATTGGGTGGTTTAGCCAATAGTTGCCACGCTTGGCAGGCGGATTGGCAACGTCAGTTAGGCTTTGGTGATGTTTTAAGCAGGACGCTGCTGGGCAACCCTCGTCCTGCCTTAGTCGCCTCTTACGACACCCACGGTAAAGGAAGGGGTGGTCCATTCTATGCCGGGACCACAGGACAATTTCAATCATACGGTATTTCAGTATAACCCATACTGATAACGATATTAAAAGACGTAACTGTTGGAGTTTCTCGCGAATTCTTCTCAGCAGATAACATTTTGAACCTAGCAGTAGAATCATAAAAAAATTGACTATTTAACAGTGCTTGTAAACCAGTTTACGTTCGAATAATGATAAATTGAAAAAATACATTTAAAATTTACTGGGTACAGAGGAATAACACCCGAGTCCTCGGGAATGGCAACGCATGGGAGGTATCATGGGCGAAACAGTATACTCTGTTATGTCCACGGTACTGCTCGTGTCTATAGGCGACGGTTACCACTTTCCATTGGGTGGGCCGTCAGCTTGTTTGCCATTCTAAGTTGTATAAAAAAATTACATAAAAGTTACTATTAAAAATCCGGACTAACATTTTTGGAGTACAACTTTACATATCATTTCTGAGTCCATTTATATGGTGTACATAATTAATGGTATTTTCGAGGTGTTTGTGTGTATTGTGACGGTAGAGGGCATGCCGGGTCTGTGACGTCATGATGTGTACAATATAACTGGGTTTGCGAGTACATATTCACATACAGTACATGTTTTTTTTTTTTTGTATTATTTTAATCAAGAAATGTGGATTGAAAAATTATAAAAAATTACAGCCTCCCATACTAACTGGAGAACAATTAGCCAATGCGTTACTGTAAACTTTTTGTTTCTACCGTGAAGCAGTTGTGTTTGCATGGCTGTGTTTCGGTTTGAAGGGTGGGATATGTAGTATATTATGTTCACGTACTGGCCACTAATAATTTGTAAATACTGGCCGGTAATAATTTGTTCTATTTATTCTTTCAATGAATAAATTAGTGTTTAACCAACTCGCTTGCGTATCACTACATGGTGGCAGCGGTGCGTTCATTTTATAGTTTTAAAATTCATATTTTATCATAAATATCAAATATTTTTTTTAAAATTGATATAATTTATTGTAAATTATATTCGTAAATATGGAGCACGCGCGTCCTCCAGCGGAATTGTCGCTTGATGGTGGTCCGGCTGCACGCTCGGAAGCGTGGCGAAAATGGCGGAAAATGTTTGAGATTTTTCTGAAGGCTTCTGGAGTTAGTAAGGAACCTAAGGAAGTTCAGGCAAGTTTGTTGGTTAACCTCATAGGACCGGCCGGATACGAGGTCTATACAACTTTCACTTTTGACGATGGCGAGACGAATGATGATATCAATTGTTTGTTAAAAAAATTTGATACTTATTTTGCCACGAAGCCAAATATTACGGTAAGAAGATTTAAATTTTTTACACGCAACCAAGAAGACGGCGAAAATATTGATCTATATGTGACCGCCTTACGAGTATTGAGTCAACAATGTGAATTTAATGAATTACAAGAGAGTTTGTTACGAGATAGAGTTGTATGTGGTATCATCGACAACACTGTAAGAGACAGGCTTCTTCGTACGGACGACTTGACTTTAAACAAGGCGATACATATATGTCAGGCGGCAGAGATGTCTAAAGAAGAAAGTTTATGTATAGACAGGACACCGGAAGTTGTTCAAGTGAACGCGGTTCACGATAAGAGTGTCGTCCGAGGCGCTCGACCCACACGGGGTTTGTTCCGGTCGAACGGAAGGCGACAGCGTGGCGGCGGCCGTGGCCGCGGCGCAGCGAGCTACCAGCAGCAGGAGCAGCAGCGGGAGGCGCGCGGCGTGTGCCCCGCGTGCGGCGGCCGGTGCCCCGGCGGCGAGCACTGCGCCGCGCTGTATGCATCGTGTTATGTATGTGATAAAAAAGGACATTTCGCGCGAGTGTGTGTACAAAAGAAAGCGATGCGCAAAGTATTAAATCTCAGTGTAGAATCGGCGAGTGACAATAGTGATGAGGAAATGGTTTTTGTGGATACTATTGAGGAGGGCAGAAAACAGAGTAAGTCGTCTTTGGAATGGACAGAGGTAATGGAGTGTAATGGTAAAAAAATTATTTTAAAAATAGATACGGGTTCTATGATCAATGTTATTTCTAAAAAAATATATTTGTATTTGGGTTTCTCTATTATGAATCTTAAACCGTTCACAAAACGAGTACATTCCTTTACGGGTAATCAATTGCCAATTTTAGGCTGTGATATAATTACTTTTCAATATAATAATAAATATTTTAATTTACCATTTGTTATTTCTGATTTTAACTGTCAGAATGTACTCGGGTTGGAAAGCTCAATTGTTTTAGGTTTAGTCAATCAAATAAGTGCATTAAATATTGAGCAATATTCTGATTTATTTCAAGGTTTAGGTAAATTACCAGGGAAATATAGTATTATAGTAGATAAAACCATACAGCCCGTTGTCTGTCCTACTAGAAAAATTCCTTTGGGACTTAAGGACAAATTACGTCAGGAATTACATAGAATGGAAGGGTTAGGTGTAATCAGAAAGGTGACATACCCTACTGAATGGGTTAATGCAATCGTTCCCGTAGCAAAAAAAGATGGCAGCATTCGTGTTTGCTTGGATCCTCGACCTCTTAACCGCGCAGTCCGGCGTGCGCATTATACTTTGCCGACGGTGCCCGAGTTGGCAGCGCGATTACGTGGTGCTCAGGTGTTCAGTGTTTTAGATGCACGGTGTGGTTTCTGGATGGTGGAAATTGATGAGGCCAGTGCTGACCTTTGTACGTTTGGCACGCCGTTTGGACGGTACCAGTTTTTACGTTTACCCTACGGCATTAACTGTGCACCCGAGGTGTTTCATGCTAAGATTAGGCAACATCTAGAAGATTTAGAGGGAGTCGAGTCTTTCATTGATGATGTTATTGTATGGGGCCGCAATAAAGAGGAACACGATTGTAGGCTTAAATGTCTTTTGCTACGTGCCAGGAATGTTGGTATAAAATTTAATCGTCAAAAATGTCAATTTGGAGTGTCTGAAATTACATATTTAGGACATAAGTTTGATGCAAACGGTATGCGAGCAGATTCCGCAAAAGTTAAAGCAATAATGGAGATGCCTTATCCTAATGATAAAAAGGCACTAGAGCGATTCTTAGGAATGATAAATTATTTAGCAAAATTTATTCAAAATTATTCGGAATGTGTAAATGTGTTAAGGTTATTACTTAAAAAGGATTCCGAGTGGTTGTGGGAGGCTCAGCACACTGAGGCTGTGGATAAACTGAAAGCAAAGCTAGCGAGTGCGCCAGTGTTGGCGTTGTACTGTGAGCGCACCCCCGTAGTAGTGTCGGTTGATGCGTCCAGTGTAGCATTGGGCGCTGTGCTACTGCAAGATGGTCGTCCAGTAGAATTTGCATCGCTCACTTTAACCGACACTCAGACCAGGTATGCGCAGATAGAAAAGGAAATGCTAGCTATCGTGTTTGCAGCCGAACGTTTCAGGCAGTATATCTACGGTAGATCAGATGTCACCGTTCATACGGATCACAAGCCGTTAGAAACTTTATTTAATAAACCATTGGTTTCTGTTCCGGCGCGCTTGCAGAGGATGATGATGAGAGTTCAAGGCTATGATTTTAAGGTAGTATATACACCAGGAAAGTATATGTATATAGCCGATACACTGTCGCGGGCACCTTTAAAAGATCTAATGCATGATCGTGTTACTGACGAAATTGAAATTCAAACATGTTTCGTGTTACAACATGTACCTTTCAGCGAAGAGAAAAAATGAAGATTATTAGGGCTGAAACGAAGATTGATAATGACTGCAGACGACTGATGAATTATATTACTAACGGTTGGCCTAAGAATAGACGTGACGTCCATGAGAATATCATTGGTTTTTGGCCTTATCGCGAACAACTTCATTGTATGGATTATATGATTTTCAAGGGTGACTGTATATTTATTCCGCGCGCTTTAAGAGACAATATGG